AAAAGGAATGGTTGATCATTAGAAGCATTAGCATATGGACTTCACAGCTACCAAGTCAATAAGGAAGATCAACAGAGAAGAATATGTCATTGCCTAAATTCAATGAAACGACTTTTTTTCCAATTTTTTGCTACTGATACGGGCAATCTGGGAAATCACAAAACAAATAAAAGCAATCTAGTTTTTACTAGTTCAGTGAGGCAATATTCAATTATTAGTTTGTTGGAATGTCTGAATTTTATAGAAAGTGCACACAGGTTTTGTCCATCATTCAAACCCAGATCCACTTCTCTGTTGTTTTCTTATCTTTTCCCCTTTGGGAAGAACTGATGGGATGCAGCGGATGCTGCAATTCATCAACTTCCAGAGGGCCATAAGATGCCTATCCTGGGCTACCAGATGTGGCGGGAGATATGCTCAGTGATAAGTCACAACCTAATTTTCTACACCCGGGGTATTACCTTGACTCTGTGCCCCCTGTCCAAATGAAGTGAATGACATACCAGAAAGTTCTCTGATTTTGCACCTTCTAGTGTTATTTCAAGATTGGAAAGTGCCGCTTCTACTTCATCGGTTTCACTTTCAGCTGCGAAGTCTTGTGACCCTGATGATAACGTCAGCTTGCTGACATGGTACTGCAGTCAACATTTCAAGGGAAAAGATACCTGGATGAGTTTATGAAGCTTGTTTACTTCATACAGAGAAAACAAACTGAGAAGTTAATAGTAAAATCTTTAAACTGAAATTTATTTAGCCTTTCCATTTGACCAGTATATTGTTGCTCATCACATGTATAAAATGCAATGGAAGTGGCTGTGTCTTTATTAATTATTTGAGCCTTTTTTTATTAGGTATTTACAACATCTCTGGAATAGTCTGTCAGTCCTAATTTTACCCCCTGGGCCACTGAATGATGTATTTATCAAAATCAAACAATTCCTGGCTGTTTATACTCTCAAAAGCTGTCCATACAAAAAATTAAAACAGACCAAATAGCATGGTTTTGTTTCAACCCAGGCTCTGTTCTAGGTGGCCTTATCCCCCTGTTTTCCACACTGCAAAACACATGCTAGCTGCAAAGAGAAGTAGAATAAGTCATCATTTGCAAGCAGCTCTTTCTGCTTCCGCAGCAAGATATGTTTTAACTAAGTGAGTTAGTTAAACTAAGCTAATGAGAACCTTTTGCACTGTTTGCTCCAGTGCTCTTTCACTAGGCAGCTGGGCTAGTGTGCTCATCATGCATGAAAGAGGAAAGGGCAATCCACCTGAAACAGAAGCAGATATATGTGATAGGGTCTCTTTTTTCTTTTTCCATCTCCCTCCTTGGATTCCATTTCACTGAGCGATCTGTAGTCCCCAGATCCCATTTATAGGCCCAGAGTACCCTAAGACTATGCCAACATTTTGCAGCCAAATGTTTGTATCATTTTTCCAGAGATCTCATTCTAGTTTTACTTTCCCTAATTTTTCCCACTCTCTCACTTTCTTTTCCTCTTCTCTCCTTCCTTTCCTTTCTATAGCTGTTTATTCATGCAAAGGATAGAACAGACAGAACAGGCACAAGTTTATCTGAAGAGACACCATCTCTTTTTCACTCTGGCTGTAAGAGGAAGACAGATGTTTAAAGGAAAAATGATCCTTTCCAACTTTCTGGTAATCCCTTTTCCAAAATTCATCATTTTTTGCAAAGTTTGTGTCAGGACTTTACCAAACTTTACCAAAAAATTATTGACCAATCTTTTTATTGAACAATGACTATAAAATATTTACTATGGTTCTAGCTAAATGAATGAAAGGTGTTTTGCATGACTTTATACATGAAGATCAATGTGGATTTCTGCCTAAAAGACAGTTGAAGGACAATATAAGACATATTCTTAATATACTAGAACATTTGGAACAACATAATGAAAAACAAGCTGTGTTGATATTTCTTGATGTGGAGAAAGCATTTGATAATTTGAACTGGATTTTTTTTTGTTTAAAATTTTGGAAAAAATGGATTTTGGAGATAACTTTAGTAAATGGGTAAAATCGATATATACATCACAAACAACACAAATTATAATCAATGGCAAATTAACTAAAACTTTAAGATACAAAAAGGGACAAAACAAGATTGACCACTTTCATCACTGTTGTTTATTTTGGCTTTGGAAGTTTTTAATAGTGATATAAGACAAGATGAGAGAATAACCAGGGTGAAGGTAAAAACAAGTATATAAACTAAGGGCATCTGCAGACAATTTGGTTTTAATGGCGGAAAAGGAATGGAAGGAATAGATATATTAATGGAAAAGCTGAAGGTATTTGGTGCACTAGCTGTGTTTAAAATTAATAAAGAGAAAACTAAAAAGTTAACAAAAAATATGAGGATGGAAGATCAAAAAAGAACTGATTGTAAAAACTGGTTTTCAGACTGATAAAAAGTTAAAATATCTGGATATTACTATGTCCAATATGAACTGTATGCTATTTCAGAATAATTATGTTAAGGTATGGAATGAAATTAAGAAAGATCTACTAAGATGGGAAAAATTGCAATTGGTTGGAAGAATTTTGGTGAATGTATTACCTAGAATGATGTTTTTATTTCAAACAGTGCTAGTTTTGAAAAATGATGCAGCTTTTAAACAATGGCAAAAACATTTATCTAGATTTGTATGGCAGGGCAAGAAACCAAGGGTTCAATATAAAATTTTGCAGGATGCCAAAGTCTGACGATGGCTAGGATTGTCTGATTTTAAATTGTATTTTGCAGCCTGTTGTTTGGTTTGGATGAAAGAATGGGTTTTGCTGAGAAATAAACAAATGTTAGAACTGGAAGATCATAACCTGAGGGTTGGTTGGCATGGGTTTTTATGATATGATAAAGTTAAAATTAATGTGGATTTTAACAATAAATACAAGCCCAGGATGTGCCTGAAGATACCTTTTTTGACCTTAGCACAGGAAGCATTCTATAGAAGAGAAACAGCAGATAGAAATAGTTAACATATCAAGACTTATTAATATAGGATGGAGAAATTAAGATGAAGTCAAGAGTACAATTGACTGCAGTAGGACATAGCTTTCAATGATTTTCATATGCAGTTAAAAGAAAGGTTTAATATGGATAAAAAGACAATTGGAATTGAAAAACACAAAATAGAATATGAAATTGAACTATGTACAAATGATGAACATGTAATAGCAAAACTGTATACTTTTGTTAAGAACTGAAACAGAAAAAGAACAGGTTAAAGTTTATATGACAAAATGGCCTATTTTAGATATAACATAGAATTGGAACTTGGGAGAGAATGCAGGTAGCTGGCATTAAATTTACACTGTATCATAATTTAAGAGAATTTTTTAATAAAATGATGTATTGTTGGTATATGACACCAGAGAAAATATCAAAAATGTACAAAGGTATTTCAAACCAGTGTTGGAAATGTGAAAAGCATGAGGGGACATTTTATCATGATGGTGGACTTATGAGAAAGCTAAGAAATGCTGGATACAGATTCACACAATGATGCAAAGGATTTTAAAGATTAATATTGTGAAAAAAATTCTTTTTATTGGGACTTAATAGACAAGGAATCAGAAAAAGACTCATGGTAGATTGATTTTGTACTGTATATGGTAACTGCAGCAAGAATATTGTATGTGCAACGATGGAAGAATAATGAAATCACCACAGTGGATGAATGGATTGTGAAAATGTCAAAATATGCAGAAATGGCAAAACTGACCTGTTTGGTCAGAGAAAAAACAACAAAACCTTTTCTGAAGGACTGGAAATTTTATATGGATTTTTGCCAAAAGAAGAAATGAAATGATGATTTATGGATCTTAAGATTAAGAAAGACGTGGATTAAATGGGGGGCTGAAGGGACATGAATAACATCTAAGAGGGAAGAGGGACAATAAAATTGTAATTATCTGTTGAAAAGGTTGAAAATCATTCATATATTTCTTAACTTTAATTTTTTTCCTCTCTTTTTCAATTCTTGGATTATTTTCTTTCTTTCTTTTCTTTCTATTTATCTTTTATTCTATGAAAAAAATTCTTAATAGAATATAAATTAGAAAAAGAAAAAGAAAAAATGGCGAGCAGAATAGAAAGAGCAGGAAAGTAATATTTTAAACGGCAAACAAGGTCCTCCTGCTCCATGAACAGGTGAGTTACAGCAATCCATCCATGGAATTGCTTCCCTAGAGAAGTTTGCTTTGTGCACCCAATGAAAACAATGTTTGCTCCGGTACCTTTAGGGGACAATCCTATAAATTCTTTCAAAGTGTAAAATTCCATTCAATTCCATGGGGCTGTTTTCTGATAACACACACAGAGAATTGCAGCCACTGCTGATTTAATGATTGTTTGGGTTTATATTTGAAGAACTAATTTGTGAACTGATCTGAGAACAACTAAACCTAGTTAATAAATGTGTAAAAGAGCCTTCTGCACTTTTGTTTAACAACCAGTCTGAGGAAGGGCTCTATAAAATTCAAAACTCAACATTTAGCCCTTTGGGGAATAATGATATTTTCTCATCACTTGGAAATGGGAATGCTTCATGACCTATTTATTGTATCTGGGAGGTAACACAATTCAGTGTTGTGTGGTTTCAGTTGCTCTACAACAGTTGAAGAGTTAACTACACCATAAAATATCCTGTTAATCATTGACATATGTGTAAACAGAATTTGAAATAACAAACTAGTTTATCACTACTGAAGAAAGGAGGGGGAAAGGTCTCACTTGGAACAATCAATCCAAGTTCTGCTCCTTGGGTGTTCATATCCTGGCACATGGCTGCTTCAAACAGAAAAAACTGGTTTTGTAACTTAAGATCAAGTACATGCCTGCAATGCAGCAAAAATGAAAGTTTCTTCTTCTGTGCAGTCTATTTCTTCCAACAGAATAGCCCAGCGGGCTTGTTCATATAGCTGGTGGATCCGTACTGCATCATACTGCCAAGAGAAGCAATATCAGGTTGCATTAGAAATAAGCAGACTGCCTTAAGTCCAACAATTAAACAGCCCAACCACCTCCAGATATACAGTTCTTTAAAACATTTTGTACTCAGTTATAGCAATGAAGGATGCATCACTGGAAGACCTGAAGGATGAGGTTGGAAACAGATCATCCTGGAGAAAATCTGTGTGGTTGCCAACTTGATGGAACATAATCATGATAAATCAAGAGGGTGCAACTCTGGTTAGCTTGAGGACTGCACCACGTTTTGCACTGTATGTCAACAGCTGCACTATAAAAATGAGTGGGGCCAGGACTAGATTTTTGGGGAGGGTTTAATGGCTTTATAGGGAGAAATGGGTGTATAGTATTTTAGAGAGCTGTATGGGAATGATACTGATATGTTCTAGTGCAGAATTGGAACGACGCTATAAATATTTATATCGAAGAAAAACTGATGAAGAGGAAGTGATAATGTCGAAAAATGAGAAGGCTGAAAGTATAGACTGAGTACTGAAGAAATGTTAAAATATGGATATGGTTTGCTCAGGGAGCAGCTATGTGACTTGTTTAATGTGCTCGTGAAGAAAGCACCTGTGCCAGATGATTAGAAGAATGCCATTATTGTTCCCATATACAAACAAAAAGGTAGCAAGAATTAATGTAAAAACTAAAAGGGGATTCTTTTGTTAAGCAATGTGCAAAATTTGGGAAGTACAGTGTGGCTTTATGCTAGGTAGCAGGGTATTTTGACCAGAGCACTTGCTGTTCAGCAAGTCATTTAGACAAAACATATGCTAAAATCTATAGGCTTGAATTAGGGAATGTTTTGCATAGATACAGAGTTGAAAGTTGGTTGCTAAATTTGGTAAGAGTGGTATATGATGGAAGTAAAATATGTATAAGAATAAATGGAATAGTTTGCAGATTGTTCAATATTTGAGCAAGGAGTAAAACAAGGATGTATGATGACCCCTTTGTTGTTTAATGTATTTTTATGGATGTGTATAAGGAATGTTTATACATATTTTGCTTGGGGATATGAATACAGTAGACTGTTGGGAGAAATGAATGTTTATCAAAAGAAGTGAAAATGGCTGTGTGTAAGAACATGGTTCTGCCCATTTAGTTATATGGAACTGAGAGTTGGGTATGTCCAAAGAAACATATACATTAGTTGAATACAGTGGGAATGGAGTACTTAAGAAATATGTAGCAATACAAGAAGTGATAGAATGAAGAATGAATGGAGGCTGAATGAATGTAGACTGAATACAAAACTGAATGACCAGTATTTAAAAAATAAGTTCAGATGGCTTGGTCAAAAAGAGAAAACGAATAAGGATCAAACCTCAAAGGAAGTATATGAAGGAAGAATGAACTGGTTGAGAGGAAGAGAAAGATGAAGAAAGTTGTTGTTAGAGTTGATAACATGTTTATGTAACACACGACAATCTATGGAGCGGTATGTATATGCACATGGATCAAGAAAGGATAGTTCAAGGACAGGAAGGTATGGAGAAGTGGAGTGAAGGGTGATGGTGCAAACTAGTGTGTGTTACTATTTCTTACACATTATTGGCACCCTGATAATATTGCTTACCTTAAAAGGGAACAGAGAAATGCGTATATAGGGTGTACCAAAAGTCAGACCCCATGGGCCAATGACAATATATTTTATTAATTAAGTTTTTTTCAGAGAAAATGTTACTGTACTTAGCAATGTTCAAAAGTCATGGGTAAAATGAGTAAGTATTTTGAAAAGAAAAAGGCAACCAATTCAAACATTTAATGTAATTTATATAGCAAATTGTCCATGGGGCCTAACTTTTGGTATGCCCTGTATACGTATCTGCGTACCTTTGTGTTGCTCTTGAAATAGTTATTGTTCAGTAATCTAGCAGTGATACTTGATCTCACTGTGCAAGATTAATCAACCTAATTAAAAACAGATATAGATTTTCCATAGGATTATTAAAGAAGATAAAGATAATTTTAATATAAAGCTGTTACAGATAAGAGGATTGAATACCTGTGGCGGTATTAAGGAAAATATGGTTGGACTGCTACAAAATAAAATTATAATAGAAGATGGTGTACCCGTTGTACCCATTCCTGGACTGGAAGGCCCTTTTCACCTCATGGCTTGACTACTGCAATGCACCCCATGTGGGGCTGCCCTTGCAGACCACGCAGAAGCTTCAGCTGGTCCAGAATGCAGCAGCTTACGTTAGTATGTCCATGTGACACCCCTGATTTGAGAGCCGCACCCCTGATTGTGAGTATGCTTCAAGGTGCTGGTTATGACCTCTAGAGCCTTATATGGCCCAGGATCCAGTTATCTGAAGGATTGCCTATCACCCATGGTATCTCCCTAGTCAGTAAGAGTTGACAGAATGGGTGTGCTCTGGGTCCCCTTGATTACACAATGTCATTTTTTGGGACCCAGAAAGTGTGCCTTCTGTGTCAGAGCACCTGCCCTCTTAAACGAGATCACCCTGAGATCCAGGTGGTTCCTACTCTGATAATGTCCTGGAAGACCTTAAAGACCTGGCTGTTCTCCTAAGTCTTAGGGTAGGATGGGTGGAGCCTTTTGTTTTATGTATTTGGCACATGCTTGCATATACTAGGTGTTTTGTGACTGGATGTTTCATCTGTTCATTTGTTTCCACTGTATTTCCATTTTTTTCTTTTATATTGTGAGCCACCCCAAGTCAGCCTGGAGTTGCTCGATCCCTAAATCAAATAGATAAATAAGCCAAACTAAAGAGAATATTCAACACAAATTTCAACACAAATACACTACTTCGTTTATTTTACTTATGTTAAAATAGAACTGATATAGTATTACTGTAGTCAGAGATCTATAAGGTATGGCTTGACAACATTCAAATAGTGAATATAAAATGAAACCCTTAAACTTGCTTTTTGACTGACATGTCAGAAAACTTAAAGAACTTCTTACTTTTGCATTCAAATCGAAGAAATCATAGTATTTAAAACGGAGTAGTAGTTGATCGTCCTCCTGGATATCTTGTTCCATAAGTGATCGAGATGAATCTAACCATCTGAAGAAGGAGGATACCAAGCACTTTTAGTAAGCTGAGCAGGAAGCAAATGTCAATTTGTAAACAGTGCAAGACATCAGAACTATGTGGGGGAGTGAGAAATGCAGTGTTTAGTAAGAGTAGTCATGGTAAGGAAGCCTGAATTAGATTTCTACACATTTTAATGCTCCTGCCTATTACTAGATGTTACCTCTGACAGTGTTAGCTTTGATAAGATGGAATAACATTTATCAGAAGCAGAGGTAGCTGTGTAGTATTTCAGTTTTCAATTTTAGCAAAGGAATGTACTCAGAAATTGCAAATGCTACGTATGTGGGAGGAAAATATCTGTGTGATTTGAAGAAGAATTATGTGCTTGAGAAGGAAGAAATCCAGTTATGAATAAGAAAAAGTGCAAAGAGGAATTTGAGCCTTGCTTTATTCCTAACACAGTAAAACATGTCAAGGTGTTACTTTTCCTTTTCTTTCCTCCTCTTATTTCATGTTTTTGTTTCTAAGAAAGTTCTAAATTACAAGCTACTTGGGAAAGATCCTTTTTTTGGCTTAAACTGCCAGGTATCCTGATTAACTATACATTATATGATCATCAACATGATCATTTTTTTTTTTAAGAAGCACCTCTTTCCTGAGTGATATAATGTGAAGACAACCAGCAACAAGAACTGGGAAAAATACTTCAACCTATTTACCTTTCCTTTTTAAAATACTGAATAACTGCTGGAGTTGAGACAACCCAATCTATCCCAACCCAACTGAATCCAACCTAAAGCAACCTAATGTTATTCTTCTTTGTTCTGAGATATATCCCACTGATTCAACAAGGCTTAGTTCATAGTAAATGCATAAAAGATTAGTGTTAGATTGC